ATTTTCATCGAAGACGACTCGTTACACATTCCTCGCATATTTTACCCTGATCGTGCTATGATTACCTATGTTCGAGCGATCGGGATCTCGCGCAGAATGCAAATGTTCACGTGTGGACGCAAACACTTCGATAGACTCGTCAAGAATCACAGATTTCGTTAACAATTGTCTTCTCTCTCCAGTTTATTAATTGCAAATTATTCTTAAACGTAGAATCCTTTGAAAACTCGCAAACGTGTTAAAAGAAATAGTAACAAAATCAATAATACTATAAATAGTATAATATAAATAGAAAATAAAAGATTATACATATTTGTGTAGTAGAATACGTTGGATGATAAAGCTAACATAAAAAATATGAAAGCACAAAAATAAATTACATTAAATTTTGTTTAGAATGGTTCTCTGTTTTAACAATTTAAATATAATTTAAATGGTTTCATACTTCTTCATTCAAATTTTCTATACCTTTTAGAGTTCAACATTCTAGAATAGAATTGATTTGGTTTTTTCTGTTAGATTTGTACAGAGTAGATTCTGTACAGAGCAGAAATAGTTACATAATTTGTAATTTAAATTTTAGCAACGTTGTTTACTAAAGTAATACATGCACGAGTATAAGTATGAAGCTTATGAACAAATATTGACATGGCCGCAGGAATTAATTATTTTTCCTGATATGCAGTCGAGCACATCGGTGAGGTGTCCTTGATGTATTTTTTCTTTCTCGAGTGCATTTCTAGGATATTCAGTAATTATATGATTTAATGATGAGCTTGAGTTGCGGGTTTCGCAGAAACTTGTAACAATTTTATTAACAATTATTTGACAGTCGTAATCCAAGCACTTTACCTTCCATTTAACACCTAATCGGTTTGAGTCCTTCGGCAAAATGAATTTCTGAAGCTTCAATTTTGTTCAAATAAAAACTAAATGACTTGTCATGATACAAATAAAATTGAACTTTAAAACACCATTTTGCAAGGCACCATCATTTAAAGCCGACAAATAAAAAACTGATCTGCTAGTGAATTTTATTTAATAAGCAAAACTTATAGTTATATTGATTTTTCTGTTGTTTTATCGCTTTCTTTCATTCGCTTGCCAAGGCAATTTTTCGAGGGCTTATATTTTTGAAACAATTACGAAATCAGAATGATGATGACTTAAACCCTACCTAGTTTTATATAGACTATAACATATTACAATGGTTTATTAACAATTTACCAACCGGTAGCCTATTAATCGAATCCCATTGTTATACGAATTACGAAACATTACACAAATATTAATCTGAAAACGATTCTAACAGATAAAGTAAATATTCTACAATGCTAAATAATATTATAAAAATAAAGATTATTACTACATTTAATTACATGTTCGACGTCTACCAGTCTATAAAGTGTTAGTATGAAGCAAATAATTTGATATACATATGTTTCAATACCATCCAAATTCCCGAAGTATGATTTAATCGATATGGCGTAGAACGACACCTACTTTCGCTATAGGGTATTTACGCACCTGCTTAGTACTACGACGACCTTGTTCACCTGTAATACGAACGATACGAATCACAAGGTTATGATAAATACACAACCGAAAGCACCAGTCGAGAAATTGCGAGTACTCGATTTTGCGATGTCCTCACGTTCGAACCTTGTCAAGTAGATTAAAATGAATGACGTATCGCGAAATCGAAAACCACGCTGTCGAACCACCTGCTTTCGATATATCGACGTCGAGGCACGCTCCCCGCGATAATAACGTGCCAATAAGAATAATAATAATCAACCTTCGTCGCCAAGGAAGTCCAATAAACCATTCATAGATGTCGAGCGATTAGGGAAGACTGGGATCTCAATCAGGCCGCTTTTGATAAAGTAACATACTGTGACTTTATTTTATGCACTACCTGTTTGATAATGGGTCTCAATTTTAGCTAAATCGCCTGGTTTCAAAAGAGCAATTGATTCGGTTTTATAAATATACTAGCAATATACTGTTCCATTTGTTGTTGTTTTGCATTTCGACGAGTGGAGGCAAGATCCAGCAAAATCCAGCAAAACCATCGAAACAAACGCATATCAATAAATTGGGCTTCTTAATTTGCAAATATTTTCGTTTGCAAAAATAATTTCGTATTCGAACGCTTCGAATAATATTTGAATATTTAAGCGTTTAAATATTGTTGAATGACTAACCTATTGATTTTATTGGATATTCGGTGATAACAAATAATATTTTCCAATACAAAATTGTACGTGGAAAGCCATGTATGTAAGCTGGTTCGTAGACCCCTGGCTCCCGAAGTTACAATTTTGCGAAGATTGCGAAGCCTTACATAATTTTAAGAATATTAATCAAAAATTATTACCTAAAATTATTTTTACGTAATTAATGATCGAAATAAAATGTATATAACATTGGCATAATGAACTTATTACAATAACCAATAGAAAAAAATTCTTAAATATTCTGTATTTTTCCGCCAGCTGAAGATATGTAACGAAACCGTTTAAACGAAAAAGGTACAAATTTTCTTGTTTATTATATAATTCAATCGTGGATGTAACCGTGCAGTACACTCACCTCGAACAATTCTGGTCATACTATCGTGAATGCGCGGTAAGCTCTAAGCGTGTTCCGACTTGTGATTGATTAAGTGCGCATCGTCAATCTATTTCCACCAATCGGAAGTCAGAACGTGCCATCTTCTGTTTATTTGTGGTTGGATAGACAGAGTCAGGGATCGAAACAGTTATGGAACTTCTTCGGTAGGTTCTGTTCAAACAGCTAAAATGAAATTTGTTTATAACAAAAGTGTTTTCACGTTACAAGTTTCGTTAAGAATAAATAAATGAAAGTTCTTGAAAGTAGCAGTAGTTCAATTCCATAAAAAACGTGAGAAATAAAGCTGAGAAAAAAATAATACAATTTATAAAACTATTAGGTGTAGACATTAATTTCGTGGATCCATATTCAATCATTTATCATTCTAATTCAAATATATGTATATATGTACACTTTTATATCATTTTCGTACATTAAAGTACCAAACCTTCTGAGTCCTCAACCTGATGGACATTACATTCAACGTGATATTTTGCTTATTGTTATTCCTCTACAATTATTATAATTACTTGTTATACTTGTAATCTGTTAGAAGAAGAATAACAAACAAAATTGTATGGCTATCGAATTTCTTATATATAGATAAATTGTAATGGCCATCAGGTTGAGACCTAGGTTATCAAGATCTAAAACTGTTCCTACTTAAACTAGTTTTACAAAAAAAAAACAAAAAAAAAAATAAATTAAATGATTGAATATAAAGGCAAGGAATTAATTTTTACACCTAATATTTACTTCGTGGAACAATTTCTAATAAATATTCTGGAATAACTGTTCCTAGGAAATTTTCATAGAAAAATCCAAGACAGAACATGTTTATTCTACCAACAAATTAATTGATTTAATTACTGCTTGATATCAGTGGTTAAAAATTTCTACTATTAAAAGCGAGAGAATTTTATACGTTGTCCGAGACCGTTCTGTAATAACGTTGTTGGTTCTTTTTGTTCCTTCAATATCGTGAACGAATCATGTGCCTGATCTTATTCACAGTTGTCTGAACAGCTATGCGTCAACCGTTCAATTGATCAAATCGTTCTCTTAATGCACAGAAGAAGACGTAACGCATTATAATTGGATCAAGTGGCAACTCCGACGCGCTAATTAGCAGAAGCCAGCACGCGACTAAATATGTAACTCGCTAAACTCAATTAAACCTTTTGCTGCTAAGGGAATGTAGTTCTGTACACGGAAAATCCCTGTCATGAAAATTCGCATAAATTCACATAAATTTTAATAATTTGCTCAAGTTTTTATTTTCGACAATCAAATATAAATCATTGTAATGTATAATTTCTTTTAGATTTATACATATTTTTGTATACCAAAAGTTGGAACGTCTATCGTTAAAAATAATAATGCTTGTTCGAATTATTTGCGTACTCGGTGAATGTATTAGGTGTAGAAATTAATTCTTTGCCTCTATATTCAATCATTTATTATTTATTTATTGTTCATTTTGTTACGTTAAAGTACCAACTTTCTAAGTTTTCAATTGACAACCTAAGTCTCAACCTAATGGTCATTACTAGACTGCGGATTTTTATACATTTATAGAAAATCTGAACGTGCAAGAAACTATAGAATTTACATAGTAGCCAATAATATAAAAAATATAAAACGTAAAGTTGGTATTATAATCCTTGGAGAGTAAAATAAATTCCTACTTAGGTTCAGTTTTTGTAGGTACGTTTACAAAGATTTTGTTTTGCATAAAGATCCGCAGTCTAGTCATTACAATTTATTCTACATGTATGTGTAGAAGTTCAATAACCATACAATTTTGCTATTTATTATCATTATTATTCTAACAGATAACGAATATAACAAGTAACTCTAATGTTTGTAGAAGAATAACAATAAAGAAAATATTACGCTACATGTTATGTCCATCAGGTTGAGACTTAGATTATGTGTAAAATTGTAAATGTATAGGATAGATACATTGTAATAGAGATCGGGTTGATCACTTAGAAGATTGGCACTTTAATGTATTAAAATTACAAGTAAGTATATCTGGTTAGACTAGGGTTATAAAGAATAGAATGTACATGCATAGAATTACTTTCTACATCTAACATTTATAAGTTGTAATCAAATTCGATTGTACTTTAAAAAAATGTAACGTGCAAATTAAAGATATCGCGGAATTTGTTATTCCAAAACATTTATTACAATTCAATAACAACAATGGTTGTCGCACAGAGAACACTCTATATTGTGACTTGTTCGTAATTATTACATTATGTTGCAATAATGTCGACTTGTATGATATGCGTAAAAGTGACGTTACGTTTTCATGTGAACAGGTATCAATCGACACGAAATCGCACTTGATGTCGACTGGATTAAATTCTTAGTAGATTTCTTTGGTTCCAGCCATCGAAGAAAGAGCAAACGCATGTGAACCATAACTCCAACCAGAAAGATCATCGAAGGCAGAAGGATGCTTCGTCGAGCAGTACTTACAGCGCTTTTCGTCAATGGCGAAGGAGCACCTCTATGGGCTCGAATCGGTCCAACAGCGTTGGATCCAGCTCGACCAGGGCTCTCGCCAAGATTCCCAATGATCCAGCGACGATTCAGAAGATGGAACAATTCCCTATGGTTCTCTCCGATGCCACCACGCCTGAAGAGGACCTCTCGTTGAAGTTTCTGGCACTGGTATTGATCTTTTCGCTGCGCAAGTTATTAGTTGTAGACATTAATTACGTGCCTTCGTATTCAATCTTTTATATATGTAGTTCAAGTAAAAATATAGTATTCTCTAAATTACACCAACCTTCCGAGTTCTCAACCTGATTTTCCATTGTAACGAAGCTACTATACATATTGGGTTGTCCAGAAAGTTCGTGGCAATTTTTAAGAAACATTCAAAGACTCGAATTTCGATATATATTTATTGAATTATATATGTACCATTTTGTTCCACAATTTTTCCACCTTTTAAGGGACGTCCATATGTTATTTGTTTTCAACCATTCCGATATATTAATATTCCAGACAACCCAATATTAGTCTCAACTGTTACGTTTCTTCAACCTAAATGTCCAAGACTAAATGTAAATTTATTTCGTGAGATTAACATACATTTATTTGTTTTTGTTTTATAGAACGCTTTAGATCTAACGGCACCAGCCAGTGACGTTCTGTTGAAGAATAGATTGAAGTCCTGGTTCCAGTTATCCGGCCACCCGGATGGCTTCGCGCCAGCCGGACCCGGCACAGTTTGGAAAAGAAAAACAGGAGGATCAGAGAATACAGAGAGGATCGTTTACGAGGCGCTCAGCAAAGACAAAGAATTGCGAGATTGCATACCGAGGTAAACGCAAGCTCGATTTACCTAATCACCGCGAAAAACCTAATTCCAGTGAAACCTCCGTTATCTAAATGGTTTTCGTTATTCAATCGTTCCACTCCAGCGGTTCTCAAACCTTTGAAAAATGAAGCATTAAATTTCGCATACGAAGTGTAAATTGAGTTTTTATCATTTTTTGTAAAAACATTCCATACCATTCGTCTTATTAGAAAATAAAATTCTAAAGCCCTGGGAATACCTTTATCGTGTATACCAAAGAATTGTATACCTAAACCAAGAAACGAAACTTATATTATTCTAAATTACAATCCCTGACTACTTGCACTTTTTGTTTATTTATTTATTTATTTATTTATTTATTGCTTTAAACCCCACAAGGTTTATATAGCATATGCATTACAAATTGTATAGTACATACACGGTTATTTTACAATATGACTTAGAGTATAACTTGAATTTACTTCATTTCATCGATTTATTTACAACTACCTTAAATCAAATGCTCTGTATAGTAAGTACAGTGTTATATATATATATGTGTGTGTTACATAATTTCTAAATTCTTATCGAACAACTTGTACTTTTTATTTAACTTCCTGATTCAGACAATCCTATTACAATTTTAACTTTATTTTTGTTTCTATTTCCGTAGATACTACCGAGAAGTAGAGTACAAAGGCGACACGTTCATCGAGCTGCAGGATCTGCTTTTCGGGTTCAACGATCCTCACGTAATGGACATCAAGATGGGGACGAGGACGTTCCTCGAGTCCGAGGTGTCGAAGACGACCGCGAGACCGGATCTCTATCAGAAGATGATCGCCGTCGATCCCAACGCCCCAACGAAGCAAGAACACGAGCAACGCGCCGTGACCAAATTACGGTACATGCAGTTCCGTGAGCAACAGAGCTCGACTCGTAGCCACGGATTTCGAATCGAGGCTATGAAATTACCCGGAGCGCCGCCGATCACCGATCTGAAGAAAGTGAAGTCCCACCAGGAAGTCCTCGATACCATGAAGCTATTCCTAGGAACTCGCGAGGCAACGCGCGAGAAGCTGCTCGTACGACTGAAGAATCTTCGCTCGAAAATCGAAGCGTCCGAGTACTTCAAGACTCACGAAGTACGCATTATCATTTTACTAATCGATTAACGTTCAAAACAGAGCTACTAACAGGACCATATTAGTGTATAGACACGCCGAGGGAGAAGGGGTTAGGGACCTATAATGTTGTTAAGACGAGCCTGACTACTGCTCGAGATTTTCTGTAATCTAATATTCATGATAAATAGAAAACTTAGTTTTGAATCAAGAAGATTTTTCATCTGAATGCACAAAAAGCTTAATGAAAAAGAGTAAATTAATTGTACAATGGAACACAGTAATAATCTAATTTGAACAATAGCTGAAGCTGTGACTAATCCAACGAATTTCGACATTCCGCAAAAGATATTAAAGAAAGGAGAATAACGGCCTCATATGCATAACATACGTGACTTTCTTTATTATTAATCCTTGTTTGAAATAAATAATATGTGCAATAATTTATTTTACAGATAATTGGTAGTAGTGTCTTCATGATCTATGATGACGACAAAGTTGGCGCGTGGTTGATCGACTTCACTAAGACGCAAGAATTACCGAATGGACAAAGAGTGACACATAGAAAGCCGTGGGAACAAGGCAACCATGAAGAAGGATTTCTATTTGGTCTTGATATTCTGATTTCGACAATAGAAGAAGCTGCCATTTCGAAGGCAGCGTAGCCTTTGTCGATTATAAATAATCCTTCCCTGGCCTCATCGTAATAACTTCTAAAGTCATACATCTTTATTTATATTTTTAAATTAGTGAAGGAATATTCGATTTTCGCTTAAAAAAGTACCTTTATTCATTTTACAAACAGTTGTTTTTTTAAACACGATTTTTAGTGTACCTAAGACTTTGTAATACTGACAATTTCATCGACGCTGTATCATCGAGTCAATGCTTTTCAAATATCTATGCCTTTTTCATTTTCCTCGTGAATTCAAAGTAAGAGACTGTAATTGATATACAAATTATTTAAAATACTTTGAAATAACTTGATACGATTTGACGAACACACTGACATATAAGGTATTCAAAGCAGAAGACTGCTTATTACTGCATTTTTTTCTATAAACTTTTTTAATTGAGAGAATCCCATAAACGATACTCCGCAACATATTTAGTATGTGTAAAAAGTTTATTATTAATGTACAAATATAGTTAATTGAATGTAACCGTTTAAGAATTATTTATGAAGAACAATTAGATTATAAGATGTACGCGTTTTTTTTAAACGAAATACTCGCTCAGAAATAATTGATTTAAAAGTTAAACATTCGTATCTTTATATTAAATTATTTTCTTCTGTAACTGCCATAAATTAAATCCTGAAGAAAAGTATTCGTAATAAAGGATATTTCTTTTAAACCGAATAAACTGTATACAATTCTATTTAATGGCGAATCTCTTGTTATCTTTGTTGTAATTATCAACATAATTCGCATGAGTATCTATTTTCTGCGTGAAAAGTAATTAGTGTATGGAATAAAATACTATTGCAAATATCGAACAATAATAATGTGAAAACCATTATTTAACAATATATACAAACTGTTCAAGAACTGTTAAATAATCAAAGATATTCGAAAAATGATTCGTATCTATATTCTTCGCGCCGTTCGTTTTCTACTGATATTATATTTGATATCTACGTAATACTAGTAAAAAATAAATTTTAAATAAATACATAATTCACTTCCTTCCTTCATAACGTGTTTCCATGAATTTCACTCGATAATTGATTCGGTATCAAAATCAGGCAATTCCTCTGTACGTTTGGAGTTTGATTTAATTATAGACTCGTACCATCGAATCTCTGCGCTTTCCAAACACCTTTGCCTGTATATGTAATAATGTACACATACGTCAAAAGTGAAATTATTAACATTACTGTCGTTTGAAATTACAAAGTACTATTATTATATACTAAATACACAATTGTAGAATTCATGTACTAACATGTCAATTTTGTCATTTTGTGGTTTCCTTACAGGATTCCATCCAGACACTGGTTTTTCATTCATCACCATTAGACCTCGAGTGCAGAATGACAAAGTAACTTTAGTTAAATTGATATCCTAAAATTGTTAACATAAAAACGGAAAGCTTAAATTTTTGAATCTTTTTTATGTGACTCATATAATATTTGTCTTCACGTAATTTTTTGTGAAACGAAATACTTCTGCAATTATGTGTAATAAAAACAAATGACGTACACGCCATTCAGAATTTAAAACGTCTCCTAAACTTAAGATGTTTGCACAGGCGTTCGCTTCCTCTATTCCTCTTATAGTATTTAAATAATTTTCCTGAATAAATTTTAGATATACTGTCGCCTGCGATTGAAAGAAAGCTGCAATTTCGTCAGGATCGTGAACAAATTTCCATGAATTTCCATTTTGAGTTCCTGTAATTACATACCGCTTTATCAACTATAATAATTCATCAGTTAACGAATTATAAGGGTAATATATATTCACCTTGTTATTGACATACATAAAAGTAATTAAATTAATAATAGCAAGGAAATTGATATGAAAAGTTTAATTCACTACATCTTTCTGTTTCATAACATAGTATCTTTTTGTACTTACTTTTGGGATTTATTACTCGACCAACACCATGCAGAAGACCCAAACTCTCTACTCGAGAACTACATACGTTTTCAAGTTGTTCAGGTACTAATAGCAACATTATAATATTGAATTTAGAAGTAAAATATATTTTTGTCGTTAATTTTACTTACCTTTTAACGAAATGAAAATAAGATTTAACACAGCATTTCTAATATCTCCTATATTATTAGATAATATTTCATCAATTTTAGGCTGAGAAACATGTATCATCTGCCCAGCAGTTAAATTTAAAATATCGCCTATTCGTTTTAATGCATTCTTCATTGCAGTTTGCGTGACAGGATTTATGCTACACCATACAAAATTTAATAAATGCATATATACAGTAAGGTGAATTAAAATACTGTGAACTTTACTTCTTTTAATAACTTACTTAATTGAGTCTATACCAAACTTTTCTTTTACATTAGGAGGAAATAACATTTGCAACAATTTTGAATTTCCAGTTTCTGAGCATATAAAAACTATAGGTTCTTTTCCCATTTCAAAATATTTTCTACAAATATAAATAAATTATAAGTATATATTGAATGCATCAAAATAAATACAATAATTTTGCTTACTCCAAAACCGAGAAAAAGCTATCTGTATCTTGAAAGTAAACATTTGGGAAATCCTTTACCAAAAGAAGACGACTGGAGCTATTACTTAGAACTGAGCTATATCGAGTAACCCTAATTAAAAAATCCTCAAATCTATCTCCTTGTCTCATTACCCTATCTACAAAATAATTAGTGATTAATGTGCTTTCATTGAAACCTTAAACTTAAAGGGTCAAAATTTACCATTCAAAACTTTGTTATATGTCAAATAAATATTTCTTTTGTACTTTTTTAATAAAACAAAATTTGTTTAACACAAAAAAACACTTACTGTTTTCATCCATGGCTTGGTCAACAGGAGTAATCCATTCTGTAACATTAAAACCATTTTCCTTGGCAAGTACTCTTAAAGCTGCAGTTTTCCCACAGCCAGATGGACCATACAAAATTAATGCACAAGGTTGACCCTTCCTAACTTTATGTTGCAGCCAAGCTAAAATATCTTGTTGTTTCTGTCTACTGACTACTAATTCAGAAGGCTTCCGTGGTTCGCAAGCTTCCAGTAAAGCAGACAAACTGCTAGTGTTTCTTCTCTTAAGAGGTATGACATAGGTACTTGAAATATTGGAAATAATACTACTTCCTAATACTTGCGATGTAGTACGTTTCATTGCTGATGATTTCTTCATAGGTGTAGAGTCAAACGATGGCATCAGCCAACTACTATTTTTCTGAACACAATACAAACAAAAATTTTATTTAATGAAAAATAGTTTATTCAAATTGAATATTTACATATTACCAATATACAACATTATACATAACAACGTTAATTTTCAATAGGAACCAAAATAATATGTAATGTGTTAATGTCAAAACATATATTAAAATATATAAAATATTTATGTCACAAAATATCAAACTAAAAATTTTGTAGACACACCTTCGAATGATCCATGTCACGATGCTAATATGAAACTTTAATTCATAATAAAATATATCACTTGAAAAGTATTTTTTGTTGTCGAAAATCAGCTGACATTTGGTTAAGGGGGTATATAGACATGTCACTGCTGAGTTCAGCTGAGTTGACCAATGCATCAGTAATGCCAGGTTTACTGGTAACACTACATCTGCAATACGCTTGATTTGTTTACAAATCTTTTATTCTTGCTAGATGAAGACTACGATTTTACATTCTCTGTACCTGTGCAGCATTATGTAAATTTCGTATTTTAATAATATATGTACGTATTCGATGAGGTTAACCAATGTCTACGTGTCAATTTCTGTAAATAAACAGTGGACAAATATATTTATATTTTGTATTTTAATTGTTGTAGGATAACATATGGATGTAACTCGCATTTTATTTAAGACACTGAGAAATATGGCACCATCATTTTATGCAGTGGCCAAAGGCAGCAAACCCGAAATTTACAATACTTGGTAAAGATATTTTGTTTTAATTTTTTACTATATTATCTTTAATCTATTTTATGCCATTGTATGTTTTAAATAAGGGACGATTGTAAGGCACAGATTTATCAGTATTCTGGTCCTGTGTATAAAAAGTTTAATGCACAAGCAGAGGCTGAAAAATTTATTAAAGAAAATAGCAGTTCAAGTGGAGGAAGTAATAGCAACAACAGTACACCCCTAGTAGAGAAAAAGTATAATAATGATTGTACAATATATATAATAGTAAGAACTTTTATTTCAAAACCATTTTAGACCAGAATTGAAAAGAAAACCTCCAGAAGTTGTGAACACATGACCATCTTTAAAAAGATGTAAACTAATAAACATCCAAAGTATTCCAAATTCTGGATGCAATCAAAGAAAAGTAAGTATTTTTATGTACTATAACCAACTTGTAAGCTTTCCAAAACTAAAAATGTTAAAAAACATTGTATTTGTTTCGAATTGAATATTATTTCATAACGGATAGTAATCCATTTCAATTTCTTTTGTAAAAATAATTTGAATTGGTTTAATTTATATCAGAAATGATTAAGATGATCACATTATTGGTGCGCTCTATTAGACTAACTGCATTCATTAGATTCTTTAATGTTTTAGAAATTGTCAGATTATGATATGGATGATGGAGGTTATGTGAGCATATATACAGATGGTGCTTGTAGTTCAAATGGCCATGGAAATGGCAAAGCAGGTATAGGTGTTTGGTTTGGCGATGATCATCCCATGTTTGTTTCATTATGATTTTGTTACATTGTATTATTAAGCTAATATTATTATGTATTTAAAGAGGTTTGTGGTTACAGGAATGTATCGCAACCAGTTCTTGGTAGGGCTACTAACAATATGGCAGAAATTCAGGGAAAACAAAAGAAGCTGGCATTAAAAAATTAAAAATTCACACAGACTTACAGTTCCTCATTAAGTGTATAAACAATTGGATGCCAAAGTGGAAATTTAATGGATGGAAAACTTTAGCCAATAAATCTGTTATAAATAAGATTGAATTGTTAGAAATGGAGGAGGCTCTCAAGTCCTTAACTGTGAAATGGGTAAGAGTAATATACAGTATATTCTATGAAATCCGTTGAATATTAGGAGTGATAGAGAACATACCATCGATGTTTACAAACATAAACTGTAAAAGACGTAGTATGTACGTACAAGTTAAAGAAATGTATAATATTAAGGTTTAGATTAATTTTTGACAAGAAATCACTTCCTACCTGCTACTATTACATCTTGGTATCCTGTAAAATTAATTTATCAATATTTGAGACTTTAATTTCATATTTTATATCTAATGTTTATTTAACAATATGTTTTAGGTACATGTTAATGGTCATGTGGGAATTCATGGTAATGAAATGGCTGACAAATTGGCAAGAGCAGGTTGTTTGAAATATTGAAGATATCACGTAAGAAATATTATTTATATTTTGTATACTTTATTTATAATTCATTTATAATTAATGATTTTCTTTAACAATGATGTAATTATGTAAAAGAAAGATACAAATTAATTTAAACAATCAAATATAGAAAGATACATTTTAATGTGTGGCTAATACATCAGGTGCTTCTTCAACATTGTTAATACCTTGTTGTTTGTCTGATGATTGTGGACATATTTGTTTCAAAAGAATGTATATGTCCTCTGGTGATATTTTAAGTGCTAAAAGTTCCAGTATAATACTAAAAGTATAACGATAAATTAGGTATTTGTAACTATTGTCATGATTCGTAAATTTATTAATGTATACTAGGTGTCTTACAATTTTATAACTTTACAAATACTTTCAAGATAACACCCGTCGCAAAATGTCAAAACATTTTAGTATTGAAGTTGTCAAAACGAGTTGTAAAGGTTATGTTTATTAGTTTTGTAAATTATTACCGATAAACTCCTGGAATTGCCGAAATTCCTGCTAATTCTGCCAGTGTTATTAATTCTGTTTGATGAGTTTGTGGAGCCGTCATTTTGTCTATCAAAGATTTAATTTGACGCGCGAAATTCTCTGTTTATATCACGGTCGAGGTTTATAGAGGTTACGAGGTTATTCAAACAAAGTAGAGTAAACAAAAATCACGTGATTACGATATAACCACAGTAACCTGTTAACATTTTTACCTAACAGTGAATCGTAAATTGTTATTTTATGTTCCTGAAATATGTTCTTATTTATATTACTTCATTTGAGATTTTTATATATTTTTTGTACTAACAGTAATTAGTATACAATGAGTAAATTTAATATTAAGATACTTTGTACTTCTTATTTTGTTATTTTTATAACCTTGTCTGTGATAAAGGATGAAGTAAAAATTATCTGAATATTAAAGTTACTATAAATAGTAACTTGTAGAACTTCATTTCATTATTTGGTTTTGTTTACTTAACCTTCAAGCAAATTTGTATTCATTTAACATGATATAATATATTGATTATTTTTTATTTATTGTTTAAGCTTTTTATCTAGGTAAAAATTTGTTTCATCTGTGATCTCAGGTCAGGAAAGAGTAAATTTGGTTGGTAAATATCAAATTAAACATATTTCAGCTTTTTTATTATTTTACATTTTTGTTTATCTTTTACATCTTTTTTAGATAAAATTTACATAATAGTATATCGTATTCTCTATCATTTTTTATTTACAAAATTCTATTGGAAGTTTAGTGTGAAGTTCAATATTGTGATTACTACAGTTTTATTCATTGGATCAATCATAACTAATCTTCGTTTTGTAATTCAGGTTTGTCAGTACTATCCGTGTAAAGGCATGTACGGTAGAATTCTGCAAAAATAATCTTTTATTCAACTTGTAATCACGCTTTAACTATAATAATTTGGGTATTATTAATTACAATAATGTCTAACTCGTAAAGTCTATTAGAATCTACCTCTTATATTTGTAAGTCTATATTAAACTTAATAATAAAAAAAAATGTGTAAAGAATAAAATACATTAATATACTGTAATAACCACAGATTTGTTAAATATTGTAAATGATTTTTATAATCGATTTGTGGCAGAGGTATTTAAGCCATACCTTATATGATTAAATCAAGTATTAAATTAGATCCTAAAATTTTTGTATAAATTCATACCATCATGCGAATCTCTGGAGTCGAGTGAAATACGAGATAGACTAGACGTTGAAGAAGTATACAATGTTGATGTACTTCTCAGATGATCATTGCTCAAAGTGGATGTAGCACATTCATTATTATTGATCAAAGTAACATCAGATAAAGCAGTCGAATTTGCAATTTGTGTCATATTTATATCAGCATCCATAAATGTGCTATCCTGTGCATATATATAAGAAAATTAACAAAATACTTAGTCATCATTAATAGTATGTATTACGATTACTTACGTCATTTTCTGCACTTTCAACAAGTTTTCTAGTTTCCCTAAATCTTTGAAGGATTCGTTCATGCGGTGATGTTATCGTAAATTGACGAGGATAAGAAAATTCTTTCTTGGCAGGTGTTGTTCCTAAAAAATCAGTAAAAAGAATCATACAATTCTATTCTTCCTACTTTCTAGTTTGCGTATAATTTTATACCTGTTGGAACATAATGTTGTATCTCAACATCAAAAAATTTGTTAATTTCGTCTACTACCGTATGTAATTGTTCAATATTTCTACCAAAACACGTACTTGATTCTACAATTAGATTATCTAATTTACAGGATATGTCTTGATAACTATTAGAAACTTTACTTTCTTCATCTTTTAAGCCGTCTATATGGTTTTTATTTGCAGCCAAGACTATATTATTCATATCCTGGAAATGTAAAATATTGATACTATATATCTTTCTTACAGATTATGTCTGAATCTTCTTGGAATTTACCTTTAATAATGAGAGAGTTTCATTTTTATCCTCGTTCATTTTTTGTTGTACTTCCTCGGTATTGTGTTCAACAAGATTCTTATATTGCTTCAGTACATTGTTGCTTATATTTAAATCTGATTTCAATTCATTTACCATACATTTCCCTTGTTCTGTAGTACTGTTTGCCAATTTTACATTCTACCATGAAGCAAAGTATAAAACGTTAAAACAACAAATGTGCACATTTTGTGCATTATAAATATTTACTTTTTGATATTACCAAAAATAATTGATTTACAAAAGTTAATGTTGCATTATATATGAAAATTACCTTCTCTGCTTCAATAACAGCGTCAGATTCAATACGTTCCAATTGATGTTGTATCTGTTGTTTTAAACTGTTTGTCATTTTTACACTGGTATTACAAGCCTCAATTGAGTTATCATTAACTTTGTTGCATATTTCGCTAATATAACCACATTTATCAGTTATAAGGTCATAATGTTCTGCTTGACTTTTACATAGAAAATTAAACTGGTTTGATACATCTTCCATCATCTAATACACAATATGCTCTTAATACTTTTGAAATTGAATTAATGAAAAATATCAAATTTGTACGCGATAATTTCTTATACCTTTGCAAATGAACGTTGCGTTTCTGTAAATTCAAGCATTTTACAAACGTTGTCTGCTTCTTTCATAATGTCCGTAATATTTTTTGTTGTACACTCATAAGCTTTCAGTTCACGTTTAATCATGTCATCTATCATTTCATTTAAGTAAATCTTGGTTTTATTTATTTTTTCTAATAAACTATCCTTTAGAAGTTGTAATTTGTCAGCAACCTCACTTTCAATTGTGCCATCAATATTTTCTGTCAATTCCATAACAACTGTATTCAAGAATTCATTTTCATGGTCTATCATGTTAACTGCACCTTGCATTTCATTTTTTATCCAATTCTGATAATTTAAGGACTATAATATTAAAAAATATTATGAATACTTCAAGGTGTATATGCAAAAATGAAAATAGCGTTTCAATGATATTTATAAAATACTTACAAATTCATTGATATTTGTTGTTAAATTATTGGTAGTTGTTAAATGCTGATCTGTGAGGTTCACTGTACTTTGCTGCATCTCTGTATTAATACTTCTACATTTTGTAACAATTTCCGTACCTGATAAAGAAGATAATCAAGCTAATATTTGTAAATAATCATAGCTAACATTAGGATTTTTATTTACCAATATCATTTTTCATAGTTGTGCAAAATTGATTTGAATTTTCTTCATATTCACGAATATATTTTTCAACGTCTTGTGCAGATTTGCAAATATTCTTTCTAAACTCTTCACCGCGAATCTCAAATTCACGTTCTGCTTTTCTAACAAATGAAGCACATATTTAAAATAAAAGGACATATTGAACTTCAAGAATTTGTGATGCCACGGACAAATTAATTTGATAAATCATGCGTTTCATTATTTAATGTTAGTCTGCTCATAATTCACTTACGTTTTACGATCAATTTTTTCATGTAATTTCTGAGAATCTTCAGTTGCTGTATCTGCGACATTCAACAAAGACTGACCTTGCAAGAGCAAAGCTTTTTCTGTATTAACATGGGTTTCTACCAAATATTTTTGTTCATCTCGTTCTTGGACTGTAACTTTTAAGCGATCATGCGTGGATTTTAGAGCATCCGTAGTATTGTCCAATTTGGCTTTTACTTCATGTAATATTTCCATTTGAGTAAGAGTTTGTAATTTAAGTTCATTGTATATTTCCTGTAATGAAGATACCAAAAAGGTATACAGTTATATCAGCGAATAGTTAATAAGAAAGTTACCTCTTTATCATCCATCATTTTTTCCAGAGCCTTTATTTGATTATTTTTTTCTTCTAGTTCTTTACTCTGCTGAGAAAGTAAGGCTTGCATTTCGTTGTAATCGTCGTTTGGAACATAAATACCAGTCTTATCACGCGTTGCTATTAAATCTCGCCGCAATCTTTCAATTTCTGCTGTGTATTTCTTTAGAAATTCTTTCTTTGACAGTTTTAGGTTTATTTCTGGACGGTTTGTAATATTTTTGGCACGATGTGCATAATCTAACGTTGACAGAGTTTCTTCAAGGTTGATACTAGCAGGAGATATAGTTGCAATGATTGATGTTTTCGTACGACCACCCAATGATTCTTGTAACAATCTGGTAAGCTTGGATTCTCTGTATGGTATAGGAAATAGAAAAGTAATTGTACTATTTTTTCTACGACCTAAGAATAGAATACTCATTTCTGTTACCTGTAAGGTATGTGTGGTGCACCTTCCACAAGAGCTGTTATAACTCTACCAAGTGTTAATAAAGACTGATTGACACAACCAGCTTCTCTTGCTCTTCTATCGATAGATCCAGACCTTCCAACATTTTCACTACCTGCTAGATCTACCAAATTTAGTTTTCCTGTTTTTAAAACTTCTTCTCCCTCGGGTGTATTTTCTTTCATGTGTACAGTAATGGAAAACACTGTATGAGATCGACTATAAATATTTCCACAAACTTGATGAGTTAGTATTAATAATAGTAGCATACACAAACTATGGCAACAAATGATAAATGAATAAAAATTAAATTTAGTAATAAAAGATTGAAATAATGACCTAGAAGAAGCATTCATCAATGTTGTAGCAGTTTGTCTTCTTTCTAATCCCATTTGAAGAAATTTGTGAACTTCACTTTTACTGTGTATTGTTATTTCTTCTAATCCATGAATAATTACTGCACCTTTCTTCGATGTATCTTCATATAATCTGCCCAACAAGTGTTTATTTTAAGATAATTTATATGAATTTATTAAAGTAGTTAGTAAGATTCGGAAACCACATAATTTACATAATTTATACTACATACTTTATTTTAGACCCATCATCATTGGTTGACAACAGATCAAACAATTCCTCGTTATAAAGTTCCAAGAAACTAACTCTTATTGTATATTCTTGTGCTTGTAATAATTGTAATTCGTCAAATAAATGACTCAACGAACGTGGAATCATGCCAGCAGTTGTATCCTACATATTGCATAATTGCATACAAATTTTCTTAGTATTTCCTGTCAAATTAAATAAGGAAACTTATATAAATGAATATCTTACTTTTCGCCAATGTAAGGTAGGATCTCTATTGATTCCTTCCATTGTAAAAGTTTTTCCAGTACCAGTTTGCCCATATGCAAATACTGTGCAATTATATCCAGCCAAAACTTGTTCCAATAATGGACTAACAACAGCATTATATACATCCACCTATCGTTTAAAATTAAAATGTACATAGCAAACATTTATTGGCTTAATGTACACAGTATTTAGTTGGTGAACAAAATTTAATACCTGCTTTGCTGAAGGTCCGAATACATTATCAAATTTAAATTTCTTTGAATACTTTTCCTTTGGGCGTTCACGTACTACTATTTCTTTATCATTGGCCACTTCTACTATAGTTGTTGATTTATTAGTTTGTTCTAAATCATTTATGGGTCTATTGGAAAAATAAAAATTAAAAAAAAAGATGTAAAATATTAGTAACAAATAATGGTTGTCTATTCTTCAGGTAAAAGAAAAATTATTTGTATTTATAGTAGGTCATTGATTAACTAAGGATAATGTTTATTAACCCTACAGTGTACATTGATGTACGTGCATTTTTCTTTGATATTTTATTACACAACAGCATAAACAACAACTTATGCACTGTTAAAAAGGTCACAATACCGTTGAAGATAATTTTTTTAGCGCCAAATCTGACAGTTGCCATCAAAACTTTTCGGTAGCGTTATTCGTCTCTGCTCCGATTTGAAAAATTGCGCACTGTAGTGTGCACCCCATTAAATTGTCTAATTGAAGTACATATTTTGCAAGGACGCAAAGTAAAAAACAGAAATTGGTGTAGAAAATCGAATTACTTGCTAATTACTCACCTAACACGAACAAATACTTGAATATGCTGACCCTTGTTCTTCGTTAGAGTACGTGTAGAGTTTATGCTCATGTTTATGTTTATGTTTATAACAGTTGCAACCGAACTGCCTCGAAGTCTGGCAGTAGAACGACTGAAAATGACGGAGAATAACGTTTCTGCTTCTCTCTAAAAAACTGGTACAAAATGATCCGTTACAATTTGAATCTGTATTGTTAGACGTACCGGGCCCTTTTGCGCATGTGTAGCGCGCCATCAGGGTCGTGCACATCGTTATGGTCACCACGAGTTTAGTTCAGGCCTATTTCAGCCAAACAAATGAAATGCTATACAATTTCTGCCGTATAAAATTTTTCTGTTTAGTTATTTTACTTTCTTCTTTACTTGAACCTTTATATAAATATTTTAAATAAATTATATAACGTTTCATAATATTGTTTCGTATATATATCGTTGTAATTATGTTATTTAGAGTCGCATTACTACTCAAACGAATTGTTATAGGGTGCGCAGGAGCCAGAGCCAAACTACGAGTTGACTTCAGCGACAGTTGCGGAAAAAGTAGGAAACCCCGGACAAGGACAAAGAGGGCGATACAACAATTGCAGGAGAGACGAGGACAGGGCGATTAGGCTAGCATGATTTGTTTCAAAGGTATTGAAGCAAAGAAGCAATATTTTCTAATAATTCTGGTTTTAATATATTCGTTACACTTTGGCGGATGCGATTCCAAGGCCTGATGTTGGAAAAAGTATATGTAAACAAATTTCTTCTATAAGAAAAAACAAACGTACTTTTATTGTTTATAAAGTTTTAAGGCCGAAATTGCAAAATCAGGCCTTGGAGTCGCATCCGCCAAAGTGTAACGAATATATTAAAACCAGAATTATTAAAAAATATTGCTTCTTTGCTTCAATATCTTTGAAAAAAATCATGCTAGTCTAATCGCCCTGTCCTCGTCTCTCCTGCAATTGTTGTATCGCCCTCTTTGTTTTTGTCCCGGAGTTTCCTATTTTTTCCGCAACTGTCGCTGAAGTCAACTCGGAATTTGGCTCTGGCTCCTGCGCACCTTTAAGTAAAATTAGTTCCATTTTATTACAGCGAATAAAGTTATTCAAAAAATTGCACCGAAAGCGCAAGAAAGTCTCGTAGCAATCCAAACAATGGCGCTGCGGTAGCAGAAACGAGCTCCCGGGTATAGTAAGGCCTCTCTACCTTCGCATTCTTTCTCTTCCATTCTCTCGTCTCACTTCGACCACGGCATATGTATGGCGCTCATTGTGACGTATTCGAATCTTGCAGCATAGAATTACGTAGAATATCTACCAGTTTTGTTACAAATAATGGTACTTGTTATTGATTCACACGTTTTCATTTAAAAAGAGTCTGGAGAATTCGTGTACATGCTCACATTATGTAGACAATAAATAATACCTAAATATGCCTACCTTACTTCATTTTATTTAATGCTCTTTACTAATTTCACAAATTTATTTTTATAATTTCAGATGCAGCTATACAAGGGTTCAGACGATATCCTTTTCCACTAAATCAAACTATTTAAATGATGAAGCATTTGCGTAAAGAAGGATAATTTGTCAAATAACACTGGTTTCAACAAAGAAGAATTTAAAATGTATAATAACTTAGTAACTCTTATCGTCCATCAGATGTGCTGCGCTACATAGGTAAATACAGACCACAGTTTATATATATTAATTGAGTTTACATGAAATTCTTGAAAAAAAATGCGTAAGCATACTTCGATTTCGATTGGTAAAATTCAATTGGATGCGTAAACGGATTGGCTAAGACTTCAGCGTATATATTAAGATGTTTGGTAAAAATTTTATTTAAAAAATAGGGTTTTAATTGTTTTCGATTTCAATTGTTATAATTATAAGTACTCAAGTCTACAGTTTCGAGATTTTTCGGATAGTAAAAGACAATGAGGTTAAACTTCACTTTGGGACACCAGAAATTATGAACTTTTTTTGTACCATTCGGTAGATTTTAATACCCAGATTACGAAAATGTAAGTTAAAATGTTAGGAATCCAACGGTTAAAAATATACGCGTGTGTAAAGTTGAGCATTTTTGACATATTTAGCTGGTTAGTCCAACGCCATATTGGCTTTGACCGTGGATATGGCGAGTAATTAGGTCGGTAATGCCATTCTGTTGTAAACACACGATCATAGATTACGTGAACGTTTGTTATGAACGCTTATAACGGGTGTGTAAAGTTTCGAGACGTATACTTTCAACTCAAAATCCTTTTATAAAATTTAAAAAGTATACGCTCTGAAACTATACGCGTGATAGGGAACTGTGCCCCTCAGACCCCCCGCGAAACTATCGATAACAATCTAGAATTCAACTCCCACTAGATTCATGAAAGGACTACCCATTTCATTAGACGCAAGTATTTAGAAATTAACAGTTAAAAATACTTAACAAAAGATAGGTCACATACGATAAACCTTTCAACTGAAATTTGTTAAGGAAATATAATAACCGAGATAGAAACTGTTTATTACAGAATAAATTTATTTCCAAACGAAGAAATATTACGGTTTACATTCACTTGAAAATTAGATATAAAAGTAAGAAAACCCGTGAAATAATTTAATTGTAGTATTACTGTCAAAGACTCTAACCGTGTACATACATTTCGCTTGTTCTTATTCTATCGCAATTCCTATCAGTAAAAAGTAATTTGTACTAATATATTGTAATCACGTTATCGTTGTACCAAATCAAAATAATCTTTCAATAGACGCGCGTGCAATTTAATAATGTCAGACTGTCTTTCAGACCACAGAGTTAACTTAGCAATCGTCCGATCAATTTCATCCTCGTCACGATGCAGAGTTGTTCTTTCATCTAGGAATTCTTCCTCTTCAAGTTGAACGTCATCTGGATCACGCTCGACTTTCTCGCACAGCGAGAGCCACTTTTCAGCATCCTTGTCAGAAACAGCCTCATTCACAATGGTCTTTATTGTGTCTTTAATCGCGGTAATGTCCGACCTATCGCAAAGGTGTTCCTTGTTCTGACCTACTCCCGACTTTTCTTTCAACGTTGGACCCGATCCCACTAATTTTTTCCATGAATTGCAGATGTCAGCCTGTGTAACGTCTGTCCAAGATTCGTTCACCAAATCGATGCAATCTTTCACGTCGTAATCCGCATAAAATGGCGCCACTCCGCCTGGAAAGTTTAAGATTCGTCTAAGTACGCGAAGTCGGTAGGACACCTTTACACTCTTCACTATCCCCTGTTGCATTGGATGCATAGACGACGAGACCTTGGGAAGGTATGCAACTTTGACGTTATCGTCTTCCATTAGCGTTTGCGGTGGCAACGTATGAGCTCTGCACTTGTCTAACAGTAGCAGCACCTTCCCTTGTGAACCAGTGTCGAACTGATGTTTCTTGACGGCTGGTTTGAAGTGCGATTCTAGCCAGTCGGCGAACACGTTCTGGTCGATCCAAGCATTTTTGGCTGCCTTGAAAACAACTGGCAAATAGTTCATGCAATGCTTGAGGGCTATTGGCGTGTGACACCTGTGGATAAAGAGCGGAGGAAGCTTGTGGGTTCCAATGGCATTCGAGCATAATCCCACGGTGACTCGATTCTTATTAGTTCTCTTTCCGTAAACTCTTCTCGCCAGGGGGTCGGTTAGTATTTTTCGGGGAAGAGCCTTCCACGCCAGGCCCATTTCGTCCATGCTGTAGACGTTCTGTAGCTCTATGCCTTCATCCTTGAGACGCTGTAGAAAGCAATACGTAATATTTTCCGTCACTCTGGTGTCGACGTCAGCGACATCATCGGTAAATTCGTAACAGCCAATGCCATGGCGGATTTTAAACCGCCATAGCCAGCCTTGGGATGCCGTGAAAGACGATGGTCCGCCAAACTCTTTGTTCAGTTCTATCGCCTTCTGTTTAAGCATAGTGTTGGAGACGTAATCATCAGCTGCTTGTTGCTCTTGGTACCATTCGTACAGGCGAGTATCCACATCTCCAAGAATAGGCTTTCCAAACCTCTTTTTATCTTTAAACCGTCGCGTGTGCGATTGTCTCCGTATCTGCACTGCGTGGCTCTTGATACGTCGAACGGTTGCATCGCTGATTCCATAGTCTTTCATCAATTGGCTCATCGAAACGCCATCTTCCAATTGCCGCAAGATGTCAGCCCGCTGCTGCAGCGACAAGCAAACGCGCGTTTTTTTCTGTCCAGGCAACATCGTACTACGACGTACACACTACCACCACTACACGACGTTTGGACAGTTGTTCGTAGCACACAGACCTATTGTCAATCAAAGATCTTACAGTCTAGTACACGGATTTGCTGTGAATTAGTACACACAGGGTTGTAGAAAAGCATTGTACGTTTCTGAATGTTCAACGCTTCGTACAAGTTGACAATTCAACCGAGAAGAGATCGGCCAGTAGAGTTTCAGTGGTACCCGGATATCTGATGGCAGAGGAAACCCCGCCATTTGTTTCGTTTAGTCTGCGCAGACGTCCCGTCGATCATGCGCGATCACCTGTCGACAAGCGGAATCCAGTATCGAAAATTTCAATTTCGATGTTACAATCACCTGTAAACAGATAGATCCAAAGAAACCGAGATGAAGAATTTGCCAGAATTACACGGCGCAGTAATTATTCGTTTAAGGATTGAGCATTGGGTTTGCTTTGGATTGGAACTAATATCCAGAGATGTGGTAACTATGAAAAGCTATTATATTTTTCTCGTTGTACCGTTATATGGCTTTTACCAATGAATTGATAACGTTTTGATGATTAAAGTAAGGACAAACCTTATTTGAATCATTTTGCATTATACATAATTGAAAATTTTCCAGAAATGATTCATGTATATCGTATTTAACCCGTTTACGTTCACATCTAGATACAGTGATTATAAAATTAATTTTACTTCAACTTAACCAAGAGCTTGCAAATCTATGTGTAATATATATTGTAAAAATGTCATGCTTTTTATTTTTTAAGAATAATACATGTGGAAAGTACTAAGTAGGTATAATCTCTTATGAATAAATTAATAATATTAGGCCATTACGGAAAACTAGCTATCAAATCACATGAATTTATTAATTTATTCGTAAGAGATAATGTTTGCCTAACATTTTCCACTCTTATTATTTCTAAAAAATACGAAACACCAAATTCTTACCATAACTGATTTTGTTATAATTCTCAAATACATCATTCTATTAGGAAAAACGCAATTTAAATGATCAATAATTTAATTGATCAACTATTACATTGCATTAATATTGATATACCGATACGCATTCGGCATTGCTTTCTCGTCAATGCAAGCTTGTCCCTCTTGCCCTATCTCGCTCACTCTAGATATCCCTTTTATTTTCTTCGTCTGACGGTTCACGCGCAGCAGTGTTTTGCTTCGAATTGTAACTTGTTCCGTGACCCAAACTAAGGTTATCAACCAACCTTCCTTAGAAAGGACAATCCTTTCTTCAACCTTCTTTCCTTTCTTCTTTCAACTTTTCCCGTTCTTGACCTCTTTTGGTTTCGTGGAGGACGCTGTATAGTAGTAACTCGCTCGTTGCACTTTCGGTCAATTGCCTGTTCTCGAAGGCGAACCTCGTTCGTTGTATTTCGTCAACGCATGGTAGGGATGGTAGTTTAGTAGGGAGTGATAGTAGAAGGGGAAGCATGGACCTTTAGTCTCATTATCTCAGTGGTCTCAGTACAAGAAACATCGTTGCGTCGACTCAATAGTGGGGAGCTTGTTATAGATGGGAGGTCTCACGTGACTGATTGGTAACCTCGTTCGTTGGAAGAACCTCGACTATTGCATGCGATTGCAATTCTGTTTCCGAGCAACAAGCGAGTTACCACGGTATATTTTTTTTCTGGGCGAATGGTGATGTATTTGAAAGTTATATTCGAATCAATTATGGTACGAACTTGATGTGTTTTGTTTTTTAGAAATAGTAGCGTGAAAAATGATACGTAAACATGATCCCTTATGAATAAATTAATAATGTTGGACTACTTAGTAGCTAATTAACTGTAAAACATTCTCTAGAGTACCAACATGTCTATAACAATGTATCATGTTATATACTTTTATAGTAAATGAATGATTTGAATGAATGTAAACATTTTTAAATAGTTTTCCATATTGCAAAAGAAAATTGATATTTTTGTGGCGATGATGATGGCATACGTCTTAGCCTGAACATTATGGAATCAAATTTAATAAAGAAATTTTTCCATAAAATATCACTAATGTAAACGTAGTAATAAATATATTTTATTTAAGGTTTCATAATTCTTGGTGGTGAGGACGACCTACCCTAGCGCTCTTCCTTGGAATTCATTGGAACTACTAACAGGAGAGGTATTCTAGATTTGCTAACTTTATCAATCTCAATAACTATTACCTTTGTTGAACGCAAAGTAGGCTCGAGACCACTGATTTCGAAGTTACTAGATATATCTAGTAACTATTACTGATTACAAGTATAAAGTAAACGGTGCAGCTGATTCTATTTAGCGACACGCGGATCGAAGGCACAGACAAGGTATAACATAGACCTATCACTTTATGGGAGTTCGTGACTCGTGGAACAGTGGCGGAGGCTTGCGAATTCTCTTATTATTTCTATGTTACGTCCATTATCGATTAAGACTAGGACATGGTATCAACGCTATGGTGTGTAGCAGGGGTGGCCAACCTTGGGCATTCCATGCGCCAATATTTTTCACAAACGAGTTCAGATACGCCATACAATTCAAACACCTTTTTTTACGTTCACGGTTAGGGCTAGAATCTCCATCTCTTAGAGACGGAAGAGGAAAAACTCAATCACGGAACTAAATTTAATAAATTTACACCAGTTCAAAAGACACATGTTTATTGCAGCATCAATCTACAAAAAACGCGTGCAGGACTAAACAAGTTCACCACAGTCTCTCTGAGTCCCTCGCGTTTTCGTCTCGAAGTAGTCCTAGATTAATGGAGTCTTGTGAAACAGCTCAACCTCTGCAAGAGGCTGCCGTGGAATTGAATCATCATACAGTATACTATGCCAGTCAGACGCTGCAAAAGATACGTTTACTTAACTCTACAGCAACGCCTCGACATTTTACTGAAATTGGAAAATGGTGCTGGATGGTCCCAATTGGCCAAAGAATATAACACCAACGTAAAAACTATTCGTCGTATCAAGTTGAACGAAGCACAGATACGGAAGCAATCGCAGATACCGGAAATCCAAGGTCTGAGGAAATTGCAGACGCCCCTATTGATTGAATTGGATGCTCGGTTGTACGCTTGGTTCCTACAACAACGATAGATAGATGATAGTATCAGTGACCAATCACTGCAAGACAAAGCGACAGAATTGAATAAAGAATTTGGCGGTCCTTCCTCATTCACGGCCTCCAAAGGTTTGATATGGAGGTTTAAACGTCGTCATGGAATCCGTTTGTTTGAGCTGCACGACGAGAGTGCGTGCGCAAACACGGCACAGGAATTTTTACAGAACTTTCTCCAGCGCGAGAATGACGAATTATGTCCTAAAAAAAAAACCGCGTATGAACCAAATTGAAGCAGACAAGTTGTTTGAAACCCTCGATTCGTGGTCGCAAACACAACCGGATTTTATTAGAATACAAGTACAGGCACTGCAAGAGTCCTATGCGTATTTGCACAAACAATATAATTGTTACTAGGTGTAAAAATTAATTCTGTGCCTTTATATTCGATCATTTAAACCTTTAATTTAAATATAATTAATTAATTAATCGTCGTTTTGTTGTTATATGTTAAATTACAAACCTCCTAGGTTCTCGACCTGATCTCGATTACGATGATCGCCATCGTAATATGCATGTATATACAAAGATTAGTAGTTATAAATTTTTGCTTAGTAAAATATAAATTTCAAAAGTTGTATAACAAAATAGGAACATGCATTTTATAACAATGTTATCTTTAGTTCAAATATATTATCTATTATTATCTTAGTTTTTATACACATACATATGCAAAAGTTTTAACAAATTATGACATGGAATCATTTTTTAAAACATTGTTGGTGTATAGGCTTGTTAAATTGCAAAATTTGTCTATACTAGCATAAGAAATTATTTAATTCGCATATCACAGCATCACTTTATTATTTATTCTAACATTATATTTCTAGTTCCATTACATTTCAGTATAGAACGTTTAATTCTGTAACGTTCAAGTTCATAGTACCTTGCTAGTGATATAATTTTGTTGTTATCGAAATTATGCTCTGATTACTGTATTTTTGTGATTAGTACTATTTCACAAAGCTACATATCATAGCACAAACTCCAAAATTCATAAGTGTACCTTTCTTTTTAATTTCCCGCATTCTAGTAATACCATGTGTTTCCCTTCAATCGTCCTAGGGGAAACGTACGACGCTTTTGTTATTCCACCTGAGAAGTAGTAGAACGCGACGTTTGTACTTGTACTACACATTTATATTTAGCCTTGAAACTCGAAAGATGCGAGTATTTGTACAGCCGTTGCAGTATATTAGGCTTTCCTATCTGATAAACAGCTATCGTAAATTACTTTTGTGAACAGTGTGTTTACAAATTTGCCTGTATCCATTTGTGTGATTTCGCGTTTGGATCGAGGTGCTATAGTATCAGTTACAGTTATAATACGTGCGTGCTTAATTTTTTTCGTTCCGACGATTTCGTAGGCTTGTTATACGTAATCATTCTCATAATTTGTTGAATATCGGTCGATACGCGTTACGAGAAGCTGTGATAATGCGTTTATTTACATAGTACAATGTAGACACAAATGAAAATAGTAGAGATGTGAACGTAACCGGATGTATACATTTTATAGGCATGCGTACTAACCGTATTGTGTCTTTTTTTCACTTTCCGTTGACGTCATTTTTCTATATACTTATATAAAAAAAAAGTGTTACACGAGTTCTTAAACATTGGTATCTAATTATTTTGAATACATAAATATGATTATTTTGTGTTACATTAGTGAAACTACGTATCTATAGTGAAATATTGTAACTTGTATGTAGCGACTGATCTGTTGAACTCTGTCGCGAGACTCGCGAATTTAACACATAAATATGCAAGTACAAGAAGCAGAAGGAGCTGACGGTAGGTAAACGTACATTTTGCTTGTTATGCATATTTTATTCTTTATCTTCATATCATATAATGTCGATTGGATGAAACATTGTAGAATCAGTATAATTTTTGTAACACACTTAACCTCTACTACAATCATATACGTGATTGGTGTTACGTAGCAATTAGATAGTTATTTGCATTAATTACTCGTAATCTATTGACTGCAGACTTTGCATAACATTTGTATGTCCTAGGATGGATCTTGTAAATTTATTAATTTCAACTTATTTCAATTTCTGGAACCCCTATTCATTGTTTATACCAATTTCAATGGTGCAAGTTTTAAGAAAATTACTTATACATGTGAGTAGTCAGTCTTGGTGACTGAAAGGAATAGGCAGATACACAAAAACTGGAACAACATTATTAAATATTCTTTGACCTGTATTGAAGTAATAGGCAAAAGATGAGTTCGATAAAATACACTGCATTGAATCCTTTGTCAGTTAAAAGTGTAGAGATTGACTACTCACATGTGCGAATAACCTATCTAAGGTAATAGCTATCAAAGTCACATGTTTGTCTTCCCCAATCAATTAGATATTTTATATGTAATTTATTAATTGTTGATTAAATTATATCACATTTTAACTCCTTACAAATTTGCATATGGAATAGAGGTCGTTGATTTTTGAACTTGCTATAATACAGGAAATTTAATTCTTTGCATCATCTAATAAAAAAATATGAAAAGAAGAGATAGATTATTTGATGTGGATGTGTACAAAGTGAAAATATTATTCCTCTCTAGGAATTGTTTACGATTTAATTACAATAAATATATACTCGTAATAACAATAGATTAAATATTTGTGCGTAGGTTCACCATGGAACAATTCCAGTGGTTGCGAAGAAGAGCGTCGGCCAGCTCAAAAGGAGGGTAAAAAATCAAATATACTACCTCTATGGGGAAATGAAAGGACTATGAATTTAAACCCACTAATTTTGACAAATATACAGTCATCACATTATTTTAAAGTGAATTTATATGAACTGAAAACATACCATGAGGTTATCGATGAAATCTATTATAAAGTATCTCATCTGGAACCATGGGAAAAGGGAAGCAGGAAAACGGCGGGTCAAACGGGCATGTGTGGAGGCGTGAGTATGTTTTCTAATACATTTGTTACTTTTTAACTGTTAATTTATTTATTGATTTAAAAGTAAGGCGGTCGCAGAGTTATTACCATGTGCACAGAAAAGACTCTAAATTTCTAGAGCTTTAAAGGACCAGGCAGTTTGCCAAAATGAGAACTGCCAATAAACATAGAGAAGGTGAAATCGTTTAAAATAAATTCAACAAAATTAAACATTTATAATGTTTTAAGCATTATAAACTTTCAGTACAGTCAGACCTCGATAAATCGGAGTTAAAGGGACATTAAAAATATTTTGAGTTATGCAGATTTTGATTTGGAGAGGATCAATAATTAATTTCGAATGATCTCATTTACATAAACGTGATTATTAGTAACAATTCATAATGAAAGCAATGTACTTTGTAGTTTAAGGTAATACAATTTAAAGAAACAGAAACAGATTGCAGTCCATTGATGTTTGGATCATTAAAATTCCACAAACTGTTAGTACACATGTTAAGAATTTGTGAATTGTGTTTTAAATTATAGAAATCAATTCATATAATTTCTGTTATTTTTTATCTTTTGAGTTATCAAGGATTTATAAGAAGGAATAAATTAAGTTTGGACTTAAAGTGGATTGAAGTATAGAGGTCTGACTGTAGTGACGTACTATCGGAGATGAATAGAAATTTATTAACCTGTGGTAGTCTGAATCAGACACTGAGCAGGCAGTCTCGCGTAACACCATATTTACTTATTGCAGAGTAGCATGTTCTCGGTCAATATATTTTAATATAATACGAATATGAATAATTGACATAGGGGGGTGTAAATTTAGCGGTTCATGCAGGTTCGTGGTGTTGGTGCTGGAGGAATTGTTTCGACGGCTTATTGTCTGCTGTATAAACTCTTCACATTGAGGTTAACACGAAAACAATTGAATGGTCTCATCAATCATCCTGATTCACCATACATTCGGGCATTAGGGTTTATGTATATTAGGTGAGAATAACGACAATGTTTCTAAAAAGATTCTTTAATTTGATATAATTTATACTAATTATTATTGATATTAATAGATACACACAACCACCAGCTGATTTATTCAGCTGGTATAGCGATTATTTAGAAGATGAAGAAGAATTAGATGTAAAAGCAGGAGGAGGTCAAGTGATGAAAATGGGTGATATTCTCAAACAATTTCTTACTAAGTTAGAGTGGTTCTCGACTCTGTTTCCAAGAATACCAGTGCCTATACAAAAAGAACTCGAACATCGATTAGCAGAAAGGTTTCCTCAGCAATCGATGAATGCTCGAAATGCAAAACCACCTATCACGTTAAATAATCATGGAAAATATAGTAACAGTAGTAACAGAAAAGACAATGGTAACGTCATGCCACGAAATCAACCGCGACATATCCCAGATAGCGAAGCTCAGTGGGGCGAGGCTGAGAGAACAAGCCACTGGCGAGCCAGGTGCGTCTACGTGGTATGAGTACAATCACGTTACTAATTTATATAAGGTTAATAATATTCATTGAACTTGTTAGGGAAATGGGGTGAAGATTAAAGACGTACCATCTCCAGGAAACTCTTGATCTCAGTGTATCATCGTTCACTTTTCTTTAGTACACGTGTATGTTCTTACTTGATTCTTGTACAGTTATTTGCTTGCTTTACAAACTTAGTGCAATAAATCTATCTTTTTATATACAAGGGTGATTCTAGACACTGGAACAAGTAATTCCTCTCTTCTAAACGAAGATACCAAAATTTGATACAAAAAGAAATTAAATTTTTATTATATATTATATCTCAATATAATAATTCTTAATAACCTAATATTTTTATATTGCTATTGTACTTCCACCATTGCACAAAAAAAAGTATTATTATTAAAAGATTTACATTGCAAAATTTGACATTTTTCTGTATCAATTTCTTGTATCTTCGTTAAGAAAAAAGATATAGCTTAACTGGTTTTTTTGAATTCTCTTGTATATTCTTTTAGATTTGCTCTTGTCTATTTTAAATTGCATCGAATTTATTGAATGTTTTGCAGCCATAAAGTTACAGGTCAAAAATCGTTCTACATTTTTGGAAAAGTCGTCTAAATATTTTTGATAACTGTACACTGATCTCTAACTTTATCCATTAGATATCAAGAAGTACGTAATTGATAACTCTCTATTGCCATTTTATTTTATTTCTGAAGAAGGAAGTATTCTATGATTATTTAGCTTGCAGAGACATTTGATGTCCTCGATGCAAAAATCTCCTGCACAGTTTTTCTGAAATTTTCTCAGTTAACTTTACAGAGATTTTTTCTCTTCAATCGATCGAGTATAGTATACAATAGAGGGTTAGATAGTTACGATTAGTACGAATTATATAAACGTGTAATATCGTGACGTTTATAACAAATTTTCTTGGTATCTTGCATTAAACATAAATCCATCGTACTATGCATCTTGCATAGATTTATATTTTCGAAAGATTATTCATAAATCAGCAGTACTTCCCTTCGAACGATTTTTTTTCTAGATTTGACGAAGACCGCAAGGATAAGTACAGGGATCGTGAGCGTGAACGGGATCGAACTAGAGAAAGAGAACGCGATCGAGCACGAGAAAGGGATCGAGAAAGGGATAGGCATGTGAGACGGTCGTCTAGTCGCGATCGAAGTCGTAGGCAGCGAGAATATAGGAGTCGTAGTAGGGACAGATCACACAGAGATCGGAGTAGAGATCGTTATCGTGATAAGGATCGTCATCGAGATAGGTAACACATTATTTTTGCCAACATTGTTAACAATTTCTTAAACTTTTGTCAATTATAGAAGAAGTTCGCCTTATGACTACGCCACAGAGCTTGCACGGGAAAGAGAGAGACAACGAAGAGAATGAAAATGTATGCTGACATGTATATATCAATATAAATGTTTGTACGAGTGTAACTATGGAGATAAAAACGATTTAGAGCCGAGCCATCCGAACACCACCGCGTTTTAAGAGAAAACTTACTTCGTTTGGAAGTGATAGCCTAAATTTAATTCTACTATATTCACCTTGTAGTTTACATGTTTTTATAAAATAAATCCATGATTATAATTATCGTGTTCTACTATTTACTCTGTATACACAAGGAATTTCATCATAAATAAATATAATCTTTATAATAGGACTTTATTACCATAAGCAAAGTCAATTAAAGGATGTGATAAGAATATATGTTAATTTATAGTGCTCCTGCTTAATAAAAAGCAACCATTCTCTATGCGTGTATGTGATTATACAGACATATATCTATACATGTATATTTTTCTATTCTTCAGAATTATAATACTAATTTAATTTTGGCGAAAACTTTCGTTAATCCATGCTAGAATTCGCTGCACTGATTCAACCAAATACGGCGCGCAAGTACTTTGGATTGAAGTTAAAAATGGCGACGGATACATGTCGTCTGATCCGGTTTGATCACCGTCGGACGCGGCTGAACTGTAGTTTCATCGAAACATGAAGGAAATATTCGTTACCAGGTGACAGTACCCGCGTGGCCAATTTTTTCAAGGTGATAGCAATAGATGTGTCTTTTTACAAAAACAATTCTTCGATATTCCTTAAGTTCGCTCAACGATTTACATAAAAATTTTCAACGTGACACTATGCTGCCATGTTGTATGCTTACGATGTTGACATTTGTTTCGTGGAGTGTCTGCTTTTATCAGAGGTCATTGTTATAGTACACAGTAAAGTAATCATTGTATAACATTTTAACAAACACGCGTCAAAAATGAAAAAAAGTGGGACAAACATTACACCAGCGTGTCTATGATCTTTCAATGTTATATTTCTCAAAGAAAACAATCGAGCGCCCTCTACCTGTCGCTTAATCGATTCAAACTTAAAATTTTGTTCGCAGATGATTGGCCGACGCTGCGCTCTCGTCGCTTTGGGCGGACTTTTGATTCTCATGCTCAGCGTCAATGTATACTTTATTCGAATGATCGTCGAGAGCTTATCTCAAAAGACTTCCTCCAAAGCCATGCCTATTTCGCAATTCAAGCTCGAACAGGAACAGTTAATCTCGCGCGCAGAACAAAATTTGCAGATACCACAGAAATCGGTTGCCAAAGACATGGCGATAAAAATTAAAGCAGAGATTGGAATACTACCGTCGAGATATTTTAAGCAAAATGCTAGCTACTCGATAGTCTTGGAACGACTGTTGACCGAGTTAAGAATAACGCCTAATGTTCGTGAAAATATATGGAGTATTCCTAATAATAATGTTAGTACTTCATCCAAATATAAAAATCAGAGTAATAACGAATTTTTCTTTATTGACAAGTATTTTTCTTTTTTTTTCAGTGGCCTGATGCTCATCAGTTAATTCCACCTGTAGCGCCCGAATTAGGAACAATTTTAGACACTTTGCGTAAATCCAAAGTGACGCGTGCGGATAATGCAGCACTTGGTACACAATTGAAATTGATGTTAACTCTGGAACATGGGATGAAAGCAATGTTCAAACCCCAGTGGTATTCTAGAGATGCAATTATTCGAGGGCCCGTTTATCACGGAAAAGATCGCCACAATGCTGAAGCGGTCGCATTTCATTTATCTTCCTTACTGGCCTTGAGGAGAGTACCAGTTACCGTTGTAAGAAAACGTATGTTTTATTCCTGGGTACAAAAGAAAACTTGTATATTTTAGTTTCATCGAGAACATTTTAAAATACGTGATGAAGTATGCTAATGAAATCTGAAGGGTACCTAAGGTATATAAAATTTAAACAGAACATTGAATCCCTTCGAGGCACATCTTATTGGCATATTTTATCAGCAGTTGAAATAAATGTAATTTTCAATATGGAAACCATACTATTCAAAGAAACTAGGTATTAAAATTGGTACCAAACAGACATTGTATATTATATAGCGAACATAACATAGTAATTATATTATACTATGCGATAACTAATATAATATTAATATACCTCAAGCTAATTCTTTGTTAGTGTATAGAGTTTTTATTCTTACATGCATATCTATTGCTACTACATTTACTCCATGCGATCATTCTACATATCTGGCCACTTCCAACGAATTACAATAATTATATTTGAGTATAATGTTTTTGCAGTTGATTTAAGGAACGAAGTTCGGCCATTCGCAACTCCTGAACTCTACGCGACTATGTATCAAGATGGTAATGATACCTGCCTGTATGGGGTTTGTCATTATTGTTCTCCAGCAGATCCAGTTTGTGGGATTGGAGATATTCTGGAGGGTGCTCTAATTTCCTGGTTACCGCGATATTTGAAACTTGTGAAGCATCGTCATCCATGGCAAAGAACTTATAAAAAGAACAAACTTGCAGCATGGGAGACAGATGATAATTACTGTGAAAAAGTATGTTTACACTATACAAGTGTATGTAACAATTTTATTCTTCCAATCAAAAATTAATATTAAAATAAAATTTTTTCAGGTAAAAGAGTCTAAGGCGTATTCTCCGCAATCGTCGAGCAGACTTTTAGATTTGATAGACACTGCAATCTTCGATTTTTTAATGGACAATGGCGATCGTCATCATTACGAATTGACACAGAATAATTTTCATAATCCTGCTGTTTTGTTGATTGACAATGGAAAGAGCCTTGGGAATCCTGATGTTGATCATTTTGATATTTTAGCTCCATTGTATCAATGCTGCATGTACGTATATGAGCAAGTACTAATTTTTATATCATCAAGTACAATTTATTAATAAACGTTTCAACCAATGATTCAGGTTCTCTTCAGTATAATATAACAGTATTTTGTTTAAAATGGCAAACCCTGATGTTTTCCTTTTAGGATTCACAAAACTACTTGGGATCGTTTGAAATTGCTTAGCGGTGGTTCTCTGAGTATTGCACTTGAAAAGCTTGTTGCACATGAGTCGATGATGGCCGATGTCGAGCATCTAATTACAGATTCTCATTTAAGTGCCATGGATAGAAGATTACTTACTATATATGCAGTTGTAGAATATTGTTTGAAAAGTAAAAAATATGCTTCTAACGTTATTCTAGATCATCGGTAGCTTATTATATTTTATAGGATTTTTAGCACAATTAAGCCATTTTCAATATCTGAAATATTAGGAAAATATTCATATTTTATATGATATGGTAACGAATGATACTCTTCAGTATCATCTTAAAGAATCATGTCAATTGTAGGTTTATTGAGATCCTGCTGGATTGTTCTTAGATTGAACAAAAATTTATATTCAAGCATGAACGTGTACCTTTGATTTAAATAAAACAGCTTTGTAAATACAAAGTGATCCAATCCCACATTTTTTCTGGTGAAACACTCCACCTGCGGAAGACGTGTTATTTCCAAGAACTCGCATAATTTCTCCATAACAACGGGAAGGACGCCAGAGTGTGTATATGGATCAGAGGAGGAATTATACACAGGTATAAACCAGGGGTTCAAAAGATTCAAAAATACCTAAGTTGAATTGCACAATATGTATGTAAGGTAAAACATACATTATTTATACAAAATTAAGATTGAACACTTAAATATAATTGTACCCAAGATGCGTTATATTCATACATATAATTGTATTTACGTTGCCTCATTCAAATAATCGTAAAGTTGCATTATACAAATAGCACCTGATAGCCGCTGACATCCCCTAACAGCCCCAACACCCAGATACCATTAATATCCCCACCACCAGTTACCAGTTCCGTTGTTCGAGTACGGGTCCGTTCCCGGGCACGCTCGTCAGCCTCGCCACAGTGGTGACACTACGATCCCGAATTTTACTCCTGTTATCAGGATCACACAAGAAATGACGAAGAGGCGCGAATCAAAATCTGGGACATATCAAATTCTCTCCGCAATTTTACTCCTGGTATCAGGATCCCATGATAGGCAAGGAGGTGGCACGAATCAAATTCTGGTAGGTATCTGAATCTATACCGAATTTTACTCCTGGTATCAGGAGAACATGATCTGCGAAGAGGTGGCACGTTTGCGCCTACGAGCAGACAACCGGCCCGACAAATCTGTAAGTATAAGTTGTTCCCATCATTTCCTGGCACACTTCCCTTTAATTTCCCTTCATTTCCTTGCACATTTCTCTTTAATTTCTCTTCATTTCCTTACACATTTCCCTTTAATTTCCCTCCATTTCCTGGTATATTCTCCGTTAATTTCTCTCCATTCCTGGTATACTTCCCTTTAATTTCCCTCAATTTCCTGGTATACTTCCCTTTAATTTCCCCCCATTTCCTGGTATATTTCCTATTACTTTCCCTTCATTTCCTTACACATTTCCCTTTAAATCCTCCCCACCCCATTTCCTGGTATATTTCCCTTTAATTTCGCCTCATATCTGTGATATTTCCTGGTTTAACAATGTTGCAAATTGCTACGCTCAAAAGTACAACAATGTTGCAAAGTTGACTCGATTTCTCGGATATTGTCACATTTTTCCGAACTTCTGAGTTGCCACTTTGTTGTACTTTTGATCCCTGCAACTTTGTTGTAATTTTGAGCGGTGCATTTTCCAAAATTTGCAACATTGTTGCAAATCGCTTTCCGTAGAATTCAACAAAGTTGCAAGTTCAACAATGTTGCAAATCACTCCCCGCAGAATTCAACAAAGTTGCAAGTTCAACAATGTTGCAAATCACTCCCCGCAGAATTCAACAAAGTTGCAAGTTCAACAATGTTGCAAATCACTCCCCGCAGAATTCGACAAAGTTGCAAGTTCAACAATGTTGCAAATCACTCCCCGCAGAATTCAACAAAGTTGCAAGTTCAACAATGTTGCAAATCGCTCCCCGCAGAATTCAACAAAGTTGCAAGTTCAACAATGTTGCAAATTGCCCCGCTCAATATTGTGATGGGAAATGTCGGATTTTTACTCCTGGTATTAGGAGAACATGATACGAGAGGAGGTGGCACGAAGGAAATCAGGTACGTATCGAAATTGGGTCAGAAT